AAAATAAAGTACTTTCAAAATATAAATAGATAAAGATAAGAAAGATAAGAAAAGAAAACTGTGCAGAAGACGGGGGTGCATTAATGTAATGCATACTGTATATACAGGGTGGGTATAAGAGTCAGTGACAAAGGGGGTACCGGGCCTTGTTAATGAGGCCAGCTGCTTTTTTTTGTTTTTCTCTTTTCTCTCTCTTTTTCTTACATCATTCTGCACAGTGAAACTCAATCAATCAACTATAGGAACAAGTTGAAAAACATATTTTTGAATAAAGAGGAACGTAAATCTATTATATATTATTTCTCTTATTTGAATAAGTCTATTAAATCTAAAATGTGATGCTGCTATGTTTTGCCCAGGAAACTCCTATAAAAGACCTTTTCAGCCTTATAGAAGCATCTTTCTGGTTGTTATTATAATATCTGTTGTCTTTTATCCTCCTCAGCTCGCAACCCTAACCACATCTAAATGCATCGAATGGATGGGAGGGGTAGGCTTCACCAAAGACTACCCCATAGAGAAATACTACAGAGACTGTAAAATTGGTGAGCATGACTGGACAAATATGCACCACTAGACAAATGACTTGTGTTTGCAAACTGTTTGTTAGATTGTTTAGGTAACTGCAACTGAAGCTACAATTGTGGAAAGGACACAACTCACGAGGGCTGCAGGAAGGTCAGGTGTAGCTGTTTGTGATTGGACCAGAGTGGGGCGGAGAGAAGGGACTGATAGCAGTGGCTGTAATCGGACTCTGCAGGAATTCCCCCGTCTGACCCCTTCAGAGTGCCATTATACCAACACACAGCCAAGGAAGCTGCCAGGGCAAAATGTCATTTTTCCTTTCATCACCACCATTTTGGCTCTCCAGTTCTCCAGCTGGAGCCCCGGTAGACCGCATAATAAGCCCCCTTGTCTCCTGATAGTGAAAGCTGCAGATTCGTTGTAGGGGAATTTGACGACTGACCTTGTTTTGTACAGCAGGGATTTATTCTAATGCTTTGTTTTGTCTCCATGTGCAGGTACCATTTATGAGGGCACGACAAATGTTCAGTTATCCACCATGGCCAAGTTCATTGATAAGGAGTATGACCACTGAAACCATCTGACTGGTGCCTGATAGATTGCACACTGCTGTGTTACACTCCATATTTTTTTCCTCAAATGATTTTGGTCATTGCTGTAGATTTGCTTTATGTTTTGAGTTTTTGTTGCAGTTTCAAATGTTTAAAGTTAGGAATTTTACTCCTTTTAAGTAGTTCACACTACTAATGTTACTGATTTCATTACATTACATTTCCCCAGCTTTACGGTTAAAGTTTCTCTGGTGTAATGATGTTTTTTTTAAATTTCCCATTTGCTTTCTATCAGACCTTTACAAATGTCCAGCAATAAAACAGTTTGTGTCCTATGTAAAGCTGTACCACTTCCCTCTTATCCATATTTGTCTTTGGTTATTGTAATATGGTGATGAATCATGTCAATAACACAACAGATCCATGTGTTTCAATATGAGAATGAATATATGAGATGTGTTGGTTGCTATTTTCTTTGAATGCTTCAGTGCCTTCAGAAGGTCTGCTATGACTGAGATCAAGAACTTGAACTGTATTTTCTTTGAAGGATGCTCTAAAGTAGGTGGATTGTAACGCTTATATGCTCCATCAATACTGTACAGTTCCTTGTTGAGGAAAATGAGGAAGTGATTTCATACTGTGTCAAGAAATTATCTGTAAAGAGTGATCTGTCAATAACTTTGGCATTATCAATAAATGTTTTCTGTTGTGCAGTCAACTGTATTTCTTTTGTGTGATTATTTGGTTTCTGTTTTAATACAGAGTTCTGTCACTAGATGGCAGCATTCTCCAGAGTGACAACAGAAGTCTGACTTGAGGCAGCCTCTTACTGAAAGAGCAGTCAATTACCACATCTTTTAACAGCCTGTCACCTCTAATGATGTTTTATGTCAATTTAATTATGCTGGTGCTTCATATGAAAGAGGCTGCCTTGTATAATTGACTCACTGATACATTTTCAGGTGAGATTGATTACATTTCCATGGCCTGCATTTGCAATGTAAAATGAGGTCCATTGTTTTTACACTACACAGACAAGCTGTGTCCAAGTATACAGACCCGTAACAGCCATTTCCCTTCATGACCCCTTGTAAAAATAAAATGGTGTGACTTGAAAGACATTAATCACTGACAGTACTTAACGTTATTTATTAACAGGTGGAAAAAAAATCACATTTCTGACTGCTGCAGTGGTAGAGATTGGCTGTATAATTGATGCCAAATATGTAGACGGACATTCTCCAACAATAGTTGAAATGTCTCATGTCCCATTATTTTTAATCATTCCACTCACTGAATATGGTACAAAAAAAAAACCCAAATGTTGACAAAAATTCAGTATTCTGTTATGAAAGAGAATTACCTATCCGATTTAGTATTGTGATCATAAGATTTAATTTACTGATTAATTTATGATAAATTGTTAGTGTCACCTGTGACACCTGGTTAAACACAACACTTCTCTTCTCCACATAATAAATCAGATCATGAAAAGCTTGGGTTATTTGTTTCTGAGATGTCTGAGGCAGGGAATGGCCAGCATTAGAGTATTTTAACCATCCTGGAAAAGAACTCAATTATTTGTATTTCAGTGCTACTCCAAAGAGTTGTTAAAGACTAAATACAAAGTATCATTTAGAAGTGGGTCTTCACTGACTGAACAAATAATCTGACATTGGTAGAGTCTATTATGTGTGATGTAATTACATATAAACCTCTATACTTCAAATCCTGCTCTGAATCTGATCAACCTGAGAATAATGTTGGCGCTTTCACATCACTTTGGAATCAAGTGCTTCAAAAATTAAGCTTAGACAGACTGAGAAAATAACTTCACCAATAAGATCAGCTCAATGTTTGCCCAGACATTTCCAAAAAATCCCTAAAACAACAAAACAGAAAGGGGGAAACACAGGCCTGTGTTTGCATCATTGATTGAGTTTCCCCCTCTGATCCACTCTGACTGGTTCCCTCTGTTGTGCAAGCCCCTGTTTAATGAGCATAATCCGATGAAAACAAAGCTATGTATCTGCTTTTCACTTTGCACTGGCAAACGCAGCTTCAACTAGCCTCTTTCTCCGCCCCCATCTTTAACACAGCTATGAGACCTCTAATTAT